AAGGCAGCTACACGTTGGACGTGACTATAGCAACATTGAAATAGGGGGGCGGGGGTTTGACCTGGAACTTGTTTCAGGGGCGCAAAAACCCCTCAAATCTGGCTTCAGCGGTTAGGCCCTGCACGGTGGTCACCCAAATGCTAAGAATTTAGAGCTTTCGGGGTTATAAGGTGCAGGCAAGATCGCACGTTTGGGTCTCTAGCCGCGCTTGCGTTGCTTCAGCCAAATGTTCTACGTTCTAAAGAGCTGTCCCTTCCGCGTTTGTGATTTTTCTGCTTCCAGAGATGGCGACTCCACGCAGGCCGTGTCAGGATTTGCAGGCAGCTACGTCTGTAAAGCTACGTCTGTAAAAAACTGTGCGGATACGGCGCCGTGCCGTCTTGGCTCAAGAGCAGGCCGACGTTGTACAATGCGAGAAAGGCTTTATGGCATCATCTCTTTCAATGGAACAGAGTACCTTGTTTCTTATTCGCCCACCGTGCCCTCTTGCCCTGCGCTGAGACTGTTTCCATTTCTCTCCACCTTCCTGGACCAGTTCAGGTGGGCTTAAGGCTTAAGACAGGTACTGCCTCTTACGCGCTGCAAGCACCCATTGCAGGCGGCCAGCACTTCCTTCGTAAAGTTCTTGTTCAAAACGCCGTTTCTTGTGACCATCCAAGGCCAGGATGTTCTGAACTTGCAAGTTTTCCGGTACGGCCCATGGCAGACGTGCCAAAGTTTCACTTGGCAGTGTAAGCTGTGTGCCCTGTAGGGGCAGGACGGGGTATAATACTGCGGGTTGTGGGCCGGTTCCCCCTTCCCCTCGTATTAACTTATTGTAATTGGTGAAAGGGTGAATCTGTCCCTGCCACTGCGGTTCCCGTCGGTTTCCGCGCCTTTTGTAAAGGTTTCTGATGGGTTTTCCAGGTTTCCTATGGGTTTCCTATAAGGTTCTTATGGGTTTTCTGTGAGTTTCTTATGGGTTTCCTATGGGTTTTCTATGGGTTTCCTATGGGTTTCGTATGGGTTTCCTCTGGGTTTCCTCTAGGTTTCCTATGCGTTTCCTATGGTTTTCCTACGGGTTTCCTATGGTTTCCTACGGGTTTCCTAATGTTTCTCGTGGTTTCCTGCGGTTTTCTGCGGGTTTCTCATGTTGCGCATGGGTTTCCTCTGAGTTTCCTTTTCTTTCGTTCGTTCTCGTAAACATTTGATCCTGTCCCAGCCACTGAGGTTCCCAGCAATTTCCGTGCCCCCGGAGGAGGTTTTTGATGTTCTCTATCGGTCTTCTGTGGGTTTCTGTGGGTTTCGTGCACGCCTCCCTTCGTTTCGTCCCTGTCTACCAGGTGACTCTGTCCGTACCACTGGTCTTCCCACCGGTTTCCATGCCCGCGCGTCGGGTTTCGTAAGTTTCTATTGCGCCCACTGCTGTCCACTGCACATCTTCTGCAGCATCTCAAACTTTCAGCGCTCGTGTAGCTTTCTTGCAGCCAGCTTTGTTTCCAGAGTGTCAGGTTGGAAGCCCAGCGTATGTTCGCGGCTGTGCATGCTGTTCCCTTACTCTGCATCTCGCTAAGGTGGTCATGGCGCTGAAACGTGCTCGTGCCCAGGCGGAGAAGGTAGCTTTCGGTTTGTCTGCTATGCTGCAACGCGGCAGGTTCTGGCCCAGGAACTCGACGACCTGAAGCACCGTCGCGTGCAGATGCGGGCAGACAATCGTGCCTTGGCGCAGCAGGAGAAGAACCTCAAGAAGCGTCGGGCTCGTCTCATGCAGGCTTGTTTGGCGCGCGCCACTTCTAGTCTCTGCAGTCTTGGCGAAACGCATCTTTTGCAGGCGGCGCGCCAGCCCAGTGACGATGACCTTCTCGTCTTGTTGCGTCAGCCGCCAGGCGACCCTGCTCTAGAGTGACGTGCTCGCGGCGGTCACGTAAGCCGTAGAGAAAGCACAGGCAATCCGCCGCCGGCAGTCCCAGCGCCACCCCACGCAGCTGAAGGTGCCACGCCGGGGTCTGTGCCCTGGTCAGGTGGTGCATGTGCCGAGGTGTCCCTCACGTAATCGTTGCTGCTCCTTTGGAGCGCGTGGAAGGCGCGAGAAAGGTGGGAGCACGCGTTGGTGCCGCCACCTGTCTGCTTAGGCCCAGGCCCCGCCGTGGCCGCTCCTGTGGATGGTCCTGAAGGCGGCAAGCGGTTATCTGCTAAAGACTCATGCTTGCAGGTGATGCTGGAGATGTTCCGGCTGAGGGGCCGTGCGCGCCCCAAAACGAGCCTTGGACGCTTCTCCGTCCGAGTGCAAGCTATATATCAGGTGAGGTGATCGAGTCGGACGTGGCCGTGGAGATTGCTGCAGGCGAGGCCTCAAGCAGTGCCGCAGAGGTGCGCCTGCATTCTTGTCTCCTGCCTGCGGCCAGATCCTGGGGACGGTGACCGTGCCCGCGGGTCAGGCGTGCCTTTGCGCGCGGGCAGCAGTCGTGTGTTTGTGAGTTGTGTGCAGGAGAGGCTGCGATCTCCAGCTCCGAGTGAGAACGCGCGCTGCGCCCGAATGGGGTCATTTCAGGGGCTGCAAGAGCAGGTGAATGTGTGGCCGTCTTAGCAGGCCCTGTGTGGTTGGTGTGCTACGTCTCACCTTAAACATGCTTGCTGCTTGTTACTGCTACCGCTGCTGCGGCTGCTGCTGCCGTGATCCTGAATGTGTCAGCAATATTTTGCCTTCGCCGAGATCTGCAGAACCACAAGCAGACTAGAGCCGTTACTTTACCGTGAGATTGCAGGTGAGGGTGTTTCTGTGTAGAACTGCGCAGGCTAGTCCGATGGGATGTGTCACAGGCTTCCCGTTCTGGTCGCGCCATGTCTGTCCCTCGTTCTTAGATCTTTCCAGCTGTGTAGTAGTAGTGGGGCCCCTGAAGCCATGCCTCCGGTGCGGACGACCCGGCAGAGCTGGCGGCGCTTTAAAAGCAGATCAACAATTTGGCAAGTCGGTGTAAGAGGGCGCGTCTCGCTGAGACGCGGGCCGCATCTGTTCCTGCGCAAGGGGCCTGGTGCCAACCAAGCAGTCCTAGATGCTTCATGGTCTACATTCTGAGTGGACGGTCCTCTACCATGGCTGCCAAGATGCTTGGTCGTGGACGGCGAACCAGATGGCCAGGCCGTTTTGCAAGGAACAACAAGCCAGAGCAGGTGCGTGCCGAGCATGTGCAGCGCTGTGCGCCAGCCATAGAGAAGGCCTTCGCGTGTGCCCCTCCCTCAGCCGTGCCTGACCTTGAACGAGGACTGGACGCGCGCTTCGAGATGGGAGATCTTCTATGTGCCCACAAATATGTCCTGGAGCACAAGTTATGCGCGTGGATAGCTCATCTTGCGCCGTCAAGGGAACAGGTTCTCGCGCAGCTCTCTGTGCAGATGTCGGACCATGCCTCGCCGGACGTGCGACGGCGCCTGATCCGCCCTGGTGCAGGGGCTGCCCGTTCGCAGCGTCGCTGGCTGGCCCGCTACCGACGGCGCTGGGGTGCCAGGTTCGGTGTGCTTCGCTCGCAGGAGCATTTGTGCGCTGCAGAGCGAGGATGCAAGGCTGGATGTGGGGCATTGAAGGGGTCGTCTGGCATAGTTATTTTTAGAGGGATGGGGTCGGATGGCAAGGGGGTCCCTGCGCCAGGCGCGGGCATACTTTCAGTGGCTGAATTTTGCCACGGGGCAGGCGCCTCCAGACAGGCCGGTCCTTGTGCTCAATATGGATGAGACGTCCATTCAGCGGCATGTCTCCAACCTGCGTGGGCTTGTCGTGCCGACAGTGAGTGAGACAGAGGGTCCCCAAAGACGCGGCCTCCTTATCTGATCGCCGTACTTGCATCTCCTACCTAGCCTGTGTGACGCATGACGTGGCAGTCCAGGACAGACTTCCTCAAGTCTTGCTCGGTAACGAGCGCCACTTTACACGGCAGCTGCTTGCGTCTGTGGCAGGCCTTCTGCCTCCCGTGTGATCTGACCTCCTGCAGACTACCGAGCTGCCACTGCAGACTTAGCAGGCGCCATGCTCTTCGCAGCTGCAAAAACTAGGCCCACCAAAACTGAGTTGAGCAAGAAAAACTGTCCGGCTCAGATATGTTTTCAGAGCTTCATACGACTGCTAAAACAAGGGGAAATGCAAGCACACTCTCTGATTCACTTCTGCAAGGATTCAAAGCGATTGCGTAGGAGACGCTCAAAGGCGGCGCTGTTGCGAACATCTGAATGGTGGTCCGAGATTTCGTCACAACGTCGAGACTTCAGAAATTCATGTTATGATTTATTCCATTGTTTCTAGGCCTCATCTGTTGCAAACCCCAAATCTGGATCAAGGCCGTTAAGTTGCAGCGTCAAGAATCTTGTGTTTTGTGTTTTCTTTCTTTATGAAGTTAAATCTTTTGCAAATAAGACTCAGCTTCGAACTTTCACTTGGAAAATAATCTGTCTTGGTTGGTCAGCGCCTGTGTTTGTATTTTTTGCCTTGTAAGTGTAAATTTATCTCTTTCTTGGAGGAATGGATCTGACTTATTCACACCGTAGTGTACGGATAAGAATCTAATGTTAATGTTACCGTTTTAAAAGGTACGTCTTCATAAAGAGTTTCCTTTTCAAATGGGATCTTACCGCTTTAAAAGGCGCGTCCGCCAAATGCTTCTTGTGGGGAGACCTGTTGATCGGCGCTTCCTGCCTACTGAAAAAGGCCTGAGCCTCCAAGTCGGTGCCTTCGACCTTTGCAGGCAGAAGGCCAATTGGGATCTGAGTCTTCTGGGTGCCTACCTCGTAGAGAAAGAAGGTTGGCGCGGAAGCTACCACATGAAGCGTGTTGGAGCCTCTAAAGTTTCTCACATAATTCTGAAGAACATCTCTGATCAGAATATAGGATTTCTATTGTTTCTAGAGTTCTTTAAGCCCTCAAGTGAGCCCATGTAATGTTTTTGCCTCCATTCATTACATTCCTAATGGAACCATATCGGCTCCACGCACAGCATGTCAGCAGGGAAAAAAAGAAAGGTTGACAAGAGTACCGCAGATAAGAACTGGGCGGCCCATGCGAAGCAGCACGCAGCAGAGTGCCCCAAGAGGCGAGACTGCGCTCGGTGCAAGCGGATTGCCAGCCAGTCAACGCGGAAGCAAAAATTTCCTGGTGGATTGCAGCAGCAAAAGGGATATGGGCTGCAAGCAATGTGCAGAGGTGCAGCGATCCCGGCCTCATTTTTTCGAGGGCCTGATGGTGCATAGGCGTCACTTTGTAAGGTATGAGATCCAAAGTGACTTGAGAATGCAAAGGTTTCAGCACCAAATTCTCCAGCGCATCAGATAGCAAGTGCTGCTTTGCATGGCTGCAGAGACCAGTCCAGGTGGACGAGAGCATGGCTGCTCCCAGTTATGAAGAGTGGAAAGCTGTGTTGCGCGAGCCAGGCTAGGCGTCGTAAGCTCAGTCGGTGGCCTAGAAAAGTGTCGTATGATGCGTTCGTGCTTAGCCGCCGCGCATTGCCGGGCCTTCAAGGAGAAGACTCAAGACGCAGTAACGATCAGCATCCAACGCACGCGGGAGATTCGCTTTCTGCTAGGCTCTAGGGTCAGATGGCTGGGAGAAGATAAACTCTTCCACGTGGAGGGGGTCTGTGTTCACCTGGCCGCTGGCCCCACGACAGACGGGAGCTAGCTCGTGGCAAAAACTGGAATTGGCTAAGGCGATCCCTCTTCGAAACCGTCTTGGACTTCTCTGGCGGTCCTGCTATGCTGGAGAAAGAAGCTTTCCGCATGGCTACGGACGGCAAGGAGGGCTGCGCACTGGTCAAGCGTGGAGAGCTGCAGAAAGCAGTCTTGAAGATATCAGGATCTGGGCATTGAAGGCCTGTTAGATAGGGCCCCTGGACAGTCGCTACGCTTGAGATTGATTCGGGCTATATTACAAGCTGCTGACGACCCGATAGAGACTTCCTCTTGAAAGCTGAGAAGGGCCTGTAGGTATCCTGGAGCCGCTACCGAGAACACCTCACGTTTTTGAGGAGCAAGAGAAATGGCCGCCAGATAATGACCCCTGGGAACCGAGCTTGGCTTGGGTTCCCAATTACTCCTCAGCTAGAGAACACAGCGACTTCGCCAAGGAGAAGTTCGAAGAGGAGATAGCGGAAGGGCTCATGGAGAAAATGTCCACCGCTATGGCGAAGACTCGGCTATAGCTGCTCTAGCCGTCATCGTAGAAGATGAGGAGATTGGAAAGAAAAGGCTAATCCACGACGCCACCCATGGGGTCAGAGTATAAACCATCGTATACGCTGCCGCGACAAGCTACGTGCTTCTGGAGCTAGGGAAAAGAAGCAGCTACTGCTAGAGATGATGGATCGAGGGGACGTCGGAGCACGGCTTTCTGGGCTGCCAGATAGATGAAGCTGGCGATGTTGTCTACGTGTGGGCACCTTCGGGGTCAACTGCGCTAGCTACTGGTGGACGAGGATAGCCGCGGCGGGCCTCACTGGACCTTCCTCTACGCCGACGATTTGGATTCCTTGCTACTACAGCTAGAGGGAGGATGGGCATAGTCCTCAGCTACCTCTATCTGTCCGCCATGGGCTACCCCTGTAAGTGGGCGAAGACGAGAGGTCACACACAAGCGAGCTTCCTGGCTAGTTAACTGGCTAAGGGAGGTGCCAACTACACCGGAGGTGG